TCTGAAACGTGGGGGCATATTGCATCTGCAGCGCGTTTGCTTCTTCTACAGCCGTTTTTGTTGGGCTATCAGCCGTCCTGAGTGGACGAAATCCTTGCCTAACGTTTGGTAGGCTACTGACGTGCTTGTACAACAGTTTGTGGTTGGCGTTGAAAATATCTGCCATGTTGTGCTGATAGGCGGCTTTGTCTTCCCTTAGCAGTTGAGTGCAGTAGTTAGGTTGGGCTACGTAGTTGTCCCAACTTTCTGATGCTGTAACTTCTTTGTACACGCGTCATGCTGCGTTGCGTACTGTTATCCATTTTCGAGTTCTGCTCCTACAGAAAGAAACTGATGTACACTTATTTCAAACTGTTATTTTTGAAGCCACTGCAGTCAACTGTCTGAACTTGTTGATGAACTTGAGCCAGGCGACTTCCGGGGATTCTTCGGCAAAGAACGACCAAGTTGTAGCTCTGACGAGCTGGGCTAATCGATCGCAGCTTGTGATGATTCACACAATCTCATCGTTGTCATTCCGATATTCCGCATAGCAGACGAAGTTGAAACTCATGACTACGGGATCACTGCGATCCATTGTCTGACGCAAAGGATGTGGCGTGTGGAGTAGCACAAGGCTTAGTTCTTGGACCTCGTCTATTCTTGCTGTTCATTAACAATTTGGCGAGATCAGTTGCTTCCGATTTCCTTTTTTGCTGATGATATCAAGATATGGCGAAGGATCAGAGGACCGGACGACCACAAACGGCTCCAGTGCGCTCTTAACACGGTGTCGAACTGCTCAGTTCAAAACGCCCTACCATTCAACGTAGACAAACGTTGCGTTGTACAATTACGCCATAGACAAAACTACACCCATTTACTTGGGACAAACGAATTGCAGACTAGCTCCCAGGAACGTGACATTGGTGTGATCGTACAGAGAGACCTCAGCTGTTCAAAACAGGCTGAGGGAGCTGCGAAAAGAGGCAACCAGCACGTCGGCGTGCTGCGAAGGGCATTCGGGAGATTTGGCCCATCCATCTTTATAATGATCCACAATTCCTACGTGCGCATGCATGTTGAATACCCTATCCCAGCTTGGCAACTTTGATTGAAGGACGACCTAAAGGCGTTAGAGGCACCTCAACGAAGAGCAACAAAGAATGTAAAGGGCCTGCGCTATCACTCTTACCACCGAAGGCTGAAGTTGCTGGGAATTTTCAGCGGACGCTATCGAAGGCTGCGCGGTGATCTCATATTAGCTTATCAGATACTGAGTGACCCCAACCACGTGTGCCGCCATTTGCTGAAACTTAGCCACAACACGCAACTCAGGGATAACTGCTTAAAATTGAAGGAACAACACAGCCGTCTAGCGTGTCGACGGAATTACTTTTCCCTTCGGGTTTGCCAACCTTGGAACGCACTCCCAGACTCAGTTGTTTCCTCTCCCACCTTGGACGTTCGCAAAAGACGATTAGATGTTGCTCTTAGCTCCCAGCATTTTGTTACCTAAACTCCTCTATTGTGGCTTACGCCAAGCATGCTTTTCAACAGGATTTATGTATCGAATGAACCCAAGTGAGCGACCATATTTTACTTTCCTCACGCCTTATATTAACGATCACTGCACCCCAGTGTCCTTCTGAATGTTTACGCACGTTTTTTATTTTAAATTTTACACTGATGTAATTTATCGAAGTATTCATCTAGGCAGACGTTCGGTAGATGACTCAGATATATTTTGATTTCATCATATGTACCCTAACCATCCTACGGGACGTGTCAATCACTTGCTTTTATCCCCTGATAAATCATTGTTCATTGTTCAAAGGACAGTCTAAAACCAACATATGGACCATATGCTCCTCGTTGGTAAGCACAAGATCCAGCACAGATGGCTTGTTACCTGTTCTGAACCGAGTGGACAAAGTGATGTGATTGTAAAGTGGAACACTGGTTACGAGATCTTGTAGATCGGCTTTGAATTGTTTTCCGATCGTGGTAGGAGTTTCTACACATTGTACGTTGAAATCACCCATGATAAGTATGTGGGTGTACTTTCGCTCTAAACTGCATTTTAAGCAGCTGCTAGGTTGCAGTCGGTTTCGGGTGTAGAGTTAGGGGGCGGTACACCAAGACAATGAGGCAAGCCTCCCTGCATTTTAACTGCAACCGGCACTAAAGATATTCGGTGAACTGCAAGTCCAAATCCTCCAGGGCTTCGCACTGTAAGTCGCTTCGGTAATACAGGATTACCTCTCCTCCTTTTTAAGCCTATCGCTCCGGATTAACTCAGGCCCGGTAGCAACTATTCGGCGTCCGTCATTCCCGTGGGAAACCACCTCTCGGTGATACCAGTAACATCATATGGACCGGAAGCTTGGCGATCTTTCAGTCCGGTTAGTTTGTTAAAAGATCCTGAGCATTCGTAAACAAGCAGGCCAGTTTCTCTGTCTCTAGGAGCCCACGGAGAGGTGAAGGGATCAAGTGTGGGAGAATGCCGACCAATGGGAGGTTGGCAGTTACTCGCTTTTTTGTTGGGATAATGAGACCTCGCCTGAAACTTGATTCGGCCAAGTTGCGTTTCAATCTGCGCTTGGAACTACGTCAGAGTCAAATAAAGAAGCAATCATGCTTAGCTACTGTACATTCGTCCATACGCTTAATGCTTCAGGTGCTTTGATATTTGAACTTTGCAAAGCATCTGCGACCTTTAATCGAAGTTCAGAAGGAAGACTTCTCCGATTTCTCCGCCATTAATTCATAACATCCGTTGCTTTTTACTTTAACTGAACCAAAATTTTAGGATTCTAGGGCCGCGTCCTCTATAATTCAGTGAGAGAAGTATCTTGGTGAGCGATAGTGCCACAATATTATCCAAGGAATGTGTTTCACGAATGAACCGCCACTGTTCCTAATCGTCCTTTCCGGTTTCTTGAACAGCGTTAGAAGGATGTTCTGGTTCGCCATGTACGAAGATTGTGTTTTGGCGGTCTTGCTTGCTATGTCCTTCTTCGGTGTTTCTTTTTGATTGTCGCGCGCTCCAAGGGACATCAGGATATATGCGTATCCCACAGGATCCGTGTTTTAACGCGTTTGCGGAGAGCAAAACGTTTTCTACGTCGGTGGAGGATTCTAGTGTCACTCGAAAAAGTCTAAGTTCTCTATAGGGTGGCGAGTTCAGATGACGAGTAATTCGTAATAAGTTTGTGAGCTTGTCTTTGACACCCATCAGCACGCACAATGAGTTCCATTGGTCTTGAGATCGTCCGATAACTTATCCCGCAATGTGATGGTGGGGCATTCAGGGACATTTGAGCATACAACAGTCCGGACACTAGTGTTGCATCCCTTTTTCGTTTATCTACAAGGTAGGGCACTCGTTTGTCCTAATCTGCTAACAAGTGTTGATTGTTTGCTGTCTATCCCTTTATTGGCCGTAACGGTGTTTACAATAGAAGAGGTCACAACGGCTGCCTCCTGGCGGACCATTGCAGCAATCTCTGCGTATGTAACAGATGTTCCGGGGGCTTTGTCTCTACAAGAGACAATTGAGCTACAGGCACGGAGGGTTGGTATTCGGCTGCTTCATCCTTTTTAACGATAGATGTCAGGTCTAGTGGAAGTTGCTTAACCAGACATTTCGAGTGGTGCCTGATTTTCGTTGCCTTGAGTACTGTTCGACTATCGTAGGTACGGTCAGTTTTCGCCCGGCGTTCTACCAAAGTTGCAGAAGACAACGGAGATGGGGATGTGGCTGATTACGGTTCAGAGAAAGTGGATTGTGCAGCATTCCGTTGCTTAGAAGCCGCTACGCTTCCGTGGTGCATAAAGGCTCTTATTAAAGTAATCATATCCTTTATCCTCTGCTCGGCTACTGCGGTTAACCGGTCACACTTCTGAGCTAGGATAAGCAAGCTGTTAACGAGTGGGATGATAGAGCACGCAGTACAGAAGCAAAGTGCATCTTGGGAGCCATTTCGTTCTCCTACCTGTTGTTGGGACACATTTGCAAATTTCGTATGATACTATTCGAAACAGTGCGAGCAAGCCAGACCGATTTTAACTACTGTAGGACTAGTTAGTACTAGTCCGAGACGGTGCGCGAAAGTAAGCGCGGATATCAGAAGGCAATGGGAGTCGGACACGGCGGATTGTATTCGATGGGCTACAATAAGAAGCGGACGGATGAAGCGAGGCGAGAGCGTACACGTGAGCGCAGGAACTTACAAGGTGGTCGAGTGCCGAGTCGGTTGTAAGATTAAAACAAGAAGGAGTAATGTACAATCGGTCAACAATTAAGTTGTACATGAAAGATAAGAGTTATCTTTTTGGGCGCTACAGAGCTCCCCCCCCTAGAAGGCTGAACATAGAAAGCCTTCGAAATCGAAAAGGGCGGTTGCAACGAAGTTCGTAAGGCAAAATCGTGCCAAGGAAAGATAAGGGAGCGTTCGTGTACATGGGGGTTCGTCGGAAGTCGGATTCCGCTGTGCCGTTTATGATCTGTTATTTATTGATTGCAGGGCAGGGTGTATTTCAGCGAGCCGTTGGATCGGGCTTGTCGGACTGCAAAAAACTGGCTAGCCCAGAAAAAAGCCGACAGGACCTCAACCTCCGCTGCTGCCAAACGGTGCGCTTGGGAGTGGTCTCTCCCCCCGCCGCACCTTGCCCCGCGCCAAAACGACCCTCGTCCCACGTAGAAACGACCATGGTCCCACGGAGAAGCGACCCTCGTCCCGCGAAGAAGCGACCTTCGTTCCGCGAAGAAGCGACCCTCGTCCCGCGGAGAAACGACCAGCGTTCCCGTCAGGGTCCTCGAAAAGATTCCTCGTGTAGGCCAGTCGATCGAAGGGGAGGGTTTGGGGCATGTAGAGAAGAGAAAATAGAAAAACACGCGCAAAAAAGCCAAAAAAACAAACGAATGATCTGCGGGTTTAAATTTTTTGGTTTTTGAATATTTTTTTCGAGAAAGGTTTTCCGCAGGTTTTTTGATATTTTTGTTTGTTTTCAAAACGTTAATCGATCAAAAGTGGGTCGGAGAAATGAACGGGCTTACGCAACTCCCGACCACGGCGATTGGTCGTGGGAGGCGGTGGACTAGGTTCGGGAGATGTCGGGACGGCTGAAGCTTGTAGACCGTGATCGTGGTCTGCTTGGACTTCATTATCATGCGGAAAACAGGTGCGGTGAGTTGTGACGTCGCACGAGGCAATATTAGACGAAGTAGGCGATGGGTTTTCTTCCATAAAGGCGGGTTTTAGACGGTCGATGGTGACGACTTCGTGTCGACCACCGCGGTCAATAGTGTGCGCCTTAATCGCACGATGTAGCACCTTGAAAGGTCCTATGTACGGCGACGGAAGAGGCTGTCGAACACCGTCTGATAGAGCACGCAGTACAGAAGCCAAGTGAATCTTGGGAGCTAGTTCGTTTTCGTGCCTGTTGGGATACATTTGCAAATTTCGTGTGATACCTCTCCAAACAGTGCGAGCAAGCCAGACCGATTTTAAATACTCCATGACATTCTCCTAACCCACAGCTGCCTTTCACTTGGAGCCTCTTCGAATTCGCATTTTTGCCAGTCAAAGTGGTGTCGTTACCTGACCCAGTGGGTTTGTTAGCATTCGATACTTTTCCAGCTTTGTGAGCGGCGCACATCGGTAAGGCGAGCGTGGTGGTTGCAATGTGAAATGAGCAGTCGGCGTGGTCGCGCGGTTTATGTGATGGGTTATGCGCACTGCCTGACAACGTCACAGGGAATGGCGAGTGACTGGAACATGCTAACAGAATCTGAACGCAGCGCTGAACACGGATTGAGATCACAAAATTTTTTACAGCTGTGTTGTGAAACGCCGGATCGTAATAAGCTTAGGCTTTTCGGATTGCCACTACAATTCCGTATCGAATGGAGTCACACAGAAAGGCAATCGGCTCAATGTGATTGAGGTATCCGCTTGCGCTTAATCACGGATGCCAGTAAAATCGGTTAGTGACGGTCCAGACTCTAATCGTAGCAGATATCTCCTCGTATAATGGATCAATGTGTAGGGCTGGTAAATCCGGTTCGAATGAGCGTACAGTGATAAGGCTGGAAAAGACGGAGAGGAGATAAAGAGGGATAATCCACGCACGTGTGTGTGTGTGAATGACTTTATCGTAAGGTCTGACCAATTAAATCTCATTGGTTTGACAAGGAGTATGGAACTCTGGCTCAGAAGCGGCGCAGACTGTGGAATAGATTCATACTCTCTGGCTCTGCTAATGACTACGAAACGTGTATAAAAGTCAGCGGAACATTTGTAACAGTGCACAACGGATCAGCCGTCGAATTGGCGGAGCAGCTGTTACTCGCCGCGAAGACTGCCACAAAGCGAATCTTTGCCTATGTGAAGCGACGCCTGAAACTGGCAGATGATGTGCCAGTGCTGCATAGTACGATTGGACAGCCTCTAAACTACAGTACTAAGTGTGCGTCCGCGGTCGCAGTGCAATTCGTTCCTGTATTTGTGAATGACTAAATGTTTGTACTAGTTTGACGTGTACCGCTTTTACCGAAGTCGACAGTCCGGATAGAAGCGTTGAAGAATTATGTTAACTAATCGCCAGCCTTGACGGCACCAACTTTGCCGGATCTGGTAGGTTCCACCCACTGATTCTCAAGTCACTTTCAGCCATCATCTCTCTTGTCGTGACTCATTTTACAACAGATTACCGTCCGAATGTCCATTGCCGATCGACTTGAAATGTTCGGTGGTGAAGCTTATTCAGATAGGCGGCGACACTAGAAAAGTAAACAACTACAGGCCAATTTGTCTGATACCTATTTTGGAAAAAATTGTTGAGAAAATTATGCAGAAGCATTGGCTGCAGTTGCTACTTTCGAAAGAGGTCCTGACGCGCGCACAGCACGGTTTTACGAAAGGCCGCTTATGCATTACAAATTTGCTTGTGACGAGGCATGACTGGTTGTATGCAATAAGCTAGGGGAAGTCTGTCGACGTGATGTTCATCGATTTCAGTAAAGTGTTCGACAAGGCTCGACACGAGGTCCTGCTTCACTAACTCAGGGTGTGCGGTTTCGGCGGCTCACTGCACCAGTGGATCCGCGACTTTCTTGTTGGACGAAGTGGAGAGTTTAAGTCGACGACCATTCATCTGACTGGTATTTCTCTACAAGTGGGATATCTCGAGACACCGTACTGGCACTGACTGTGTTCCTGATCCACATCAACCATCTAAATCAGCTTCTCCTGTCGCCATGTGCCTTGTTTGCGGATGACATAAAGATTTTGAGAGCAATTGACGCTCCCGACGACTGTGGTGTACTTCATCAAGAACTTAGCCGCCTATCCACACGGTCTGCAGAAGTTCATCTCTCGGTCAACCTAGCCAAGTCTGTGTATATGAGCCTGAGGAGGAATGCTGACGGCACAACCTACACCCTTGACGGCCAACCGCTATATCCCACACCCTCCGTGAAGGAGTTAGGTGTACTCTTGCGCTGCGCTTTGAAGTCCGTTGACAACTCGAACAGGCTATATCGTAACGGACTGTCCATTCTTTTGGGCGCTCTAATGTGGCTTCGGGACATGGTCTGAAGAAGTTGCCACTCGCCCCTTCTCTTCTATCGTTATACCAATGGTAGAATACGGTTCGCCAGCCTATTTTCCGATTACCCGTGGCGACGCACAGAAGATCGAACGGGTCCACCACGTTGCTACCAGGCTCATCCCTAGTTTGCTTGGTTTGAGATATGAAGATCGGGTCGAGAGACTAGGTCTCTACACCTTGTCCTGCTGTCGAGTGCGCGTTGACCTCGTTATGACCTACTGTCTTCGACATCTTGGTGACTTCCCCATGCTGACGCCAATGCTCCACTTACTAAGGCCTTGGAGCACACGCGGACACAGATACAAGCTTGTCTTGCCGGACGTGAAGCGTGTTCCCCACCCACTGTGCTTTGAACGGTGAGTGGTAAAAATTTGGAACAGTTTACCTGAACATTTGATGGAGGCAACATCTGTGCAGCGTTTCAGAATGTTGTTGGATTTATACTTTACCACTATTCGATTCAGAGAACTCCGGATCGGAATAAGCTTAGGTTTTTCGGATTGCCTCGACAATTCCGTATCGAATGGAGTCACAAAGAAAGTCAATCGGCTCAAGGTAATTGAGTTATCCGCTTGCACTTAATCACGGATGTCAGTGAAAACGGTTAGGGATGGCACGGACTCAAATCGTAGGATATATTTCCACGTATGATGGATCAGTGTGTAGTGCTGGTAACTCCGGTTCGAAGGAGCGTGCAGTGACAACACTGCGAGAAGACAGAGAGGGGATAGAGAGCAATAATCCAAATGAATTAGGCGCACGCACGTCACGCGTGTGTGTGTGTGTGTGGAATATTTGGAACAGTTTGCCTGAACAGATGGAGGCCACATCTGTGCAGCTGTTCAAACTGTTCTGGATTTAACTTTTACTCGATTCAGAGAACGGTTGCACACTTAAGATGACATCTAATATTTGTGAGCCTTGCAATACCGTGAGTCAGCTATTTCAAATGTTAGATGAGCAAAATAAAAATATTTACGGATGAAAATTTTTATACGTTTTTCACCATAATTCGAAGGACTTGTACAGAAATGATTTCTATTTGCTCTATAATGCGGTATTCAGTATTCCGAAGAAGTTGGAAAATCTTTGCGTGTGTTTCCAGTGCGAGCAGCGGCCTCCACTTTCAAAGCTAGCTCAGATCACCAAGCCTTGGTTGCCTTGCGCAAGCTTTGCTTGCGCTGCCGGTTATCAGAGCGGCGCCACTCGTTTTTACCTGCTTCTGCCATGGTTTATCTGCGGTGGTCGAACAGCTCCAGAGAGCAATCAAAGATCCAGGTCTCTACTGGGTGTCGGGCTAGGTCACAGCTTGACTTTATGGAAGTAATCACCTTCTCTACACATGTCCTGTGTTGCTCAATATCTCGAGGTGGATCGCAACTGAGTGCATCTGCCAGTGAAGACTAAAAAATCGTTTGGTCCAAGGAATTAGTTAGTGTGTTCGCAACAACCTTGCCGAGCTTCGCTTTTGGGTACCTCCCAAAAATATGTAGATTTTCGCGCAGACCAACGCATGGTCCGAGTCAATGAAAGTGGACCAAAATGACCTGCAATCCTGTACAATGCGCCGTCATCTGAAGCTGATTGTGATGTGATCAATTTGAGACCACGCTTTTGTTGGCGAAGGGGAAAGACAATTTGCCGAACATTTCTTCGTATGCCCGGGTTTGGTGCTTCATATAAACAGGTGGTTGTCTACACAATGTGCGAAGTCTCACTCTGTAATCCGTGCGGTCATCTTCTAGCGCGTGGTGACTACCAAGATAGCGTTCTTATGGTAGCAGGCGGATTTTAAGCGCGCTCAGTTGTACTGATTCAGCCAAGGGTAGATTGTGCTTTAGTAATCGACCGCTCTATGCACAGTTAACCCTGAGGTCATCTTCGTTCGTGCCGTGTCACGTTACGGTGCTAGTTCCAATATGCGCACACTCACAAATCCAGTCAGACAAAGAGATGTGCGTGCGTTCGATAGAACGCGATTCCCCATGCGACGTGAAAGCTCTTGATCAACGAAGGCAGTGAAGGAAGATGTAATTGCTTCTCTCTGCCTTATACAGCTGCCGATAGCATTGGCTTTGGTATCTTGATGTAGACCTCGCAACAATCATCAACATCATCATACACGTTAGCTAGATGTGTAAAACACCTCAGCTACTGTGCCGCAATACATACCATAAAAATGGGCAAATGCAGCGGGTGTAAGCCAGCCGAGTTGCTGGTAGCGATGGGCATCGTTTCGGTAAGCTACCAGCCGGTTACTATACAGCAAAAAAATTTACTATTCAAAATTATCTAAGGCTACATAGTGAGATCGTGGTTGGAGGGGGAGGCTAAATGGGATGGGGTGGGTCAAAGAAACTCACAGCACGAACGCCACTGAGGTCGGCTCCTTGCCAAGTCAGCAAGTGTATCCAGCCAAACGTGTTCATCGTCTTTCGGACCCCAACTAGGGAGCTGAGACTTTTCAACCGAGGCCAGCTCAGAAGTGAAGGCCTTCACTCCTCTCGACCAAGTCATAGCTTGGCCACCTCTCCTCTTCTTCCATACACACCCCCGGCGCACAAACAACGCACGTCGCGGGAGTCAATGGGCTGGCATTTGTAACATGTGGCCAAGCCATCGGAGCCTAGTGCATGAAATAACGGTGCTGAGCGGTTTATTTTCTTTTCCTGTGTCGTAAACCAGGCGTCGAACGTGCTTGTTGCTCACGCGGTGTTCCCACCAGATGTGAAGGCACCGGTGGTCGAACGTAACTAGCATCCTCAGGTCCGTTGTTTTAAGGGGCTAGATTTCACAACTGTACAGTATGGTGGAACGTTCCGCTGCATTGTAGACACTACCC